AAGTAATTGAACTTCTAGAATTTAAGTAGGTTTGGAGTCTTCATTGAACTACGCTTCTGAAAGTTTCCATCCCACTTTGGCTCAGGATATTCTCCAGGATGGAAGGGGGTACTCTGTCTGGGGCTGTGAGCCTTGCCTTGCCTGGTCACCCTGAGCCCTTCCACCAGCCTCTCCCCATGTCTTCCTGCTGCCTTTGTCTTAACATACTTCATTCCTTTTGAAAACAAAACAAAACAAAACAAAAAAACTTTCTTTGTTTAAGGTTTACAATGACTGCTCATTATAAAGGTTATGTAATTCATGTGTACTATATATTTTTATATCTATATAGATAAATATAAAAGTCCAAATAAAGAAATCAAAGTTAGATAAGATTCCAGAAATTAAAAATGATTACTGTCTTAATTGGCTGGTTTCACACTGTTCTAGAATATTCCTGGGCATATAGACAATTATGCAAACATATGTAGCTAGATAGTTACCATTTTACATAGTCTGGTGTCCTGATATTTCATACAACAATGTTGTGGACTTCTTTCCATGTCAATAAAACTAATTCTGCATTATTATTGGTTGGTTGTATTCCATAATTTAATTAAGCAGTCCCTAGTTAATATCTATCTATCTATCTATCTATCTATCTATCTATCTTATTTCCTATTTTTTTAAAAAAGCAAAGCTAGGCAGGCCAGGTCTCTGTGGCCCAGCAAGGTCCAGCCCAGAGGGTGGTAGGCATCATGCCAGGTGTCTGTGTGGAAGGAACTGGCCTAAAGCCTAGAATACGGAGCGTTTTCTTATCTTGCAAGTGTTTGGTGCAAGGCTTTGGCTTCAGCTGAGCCTGATGAGAGCAGGGTGAAGAGCCCCAAGAGACCCGGGCATCTGGAACCTGTTACCACAGACAGCATATGAACCACAAGGCAGGTTTATCTCCTTCCTGTGACAGAAACCCACAAAGCCATCATGAACTGCTCCTCAAGCTAATCTCAACCCAGGACACTGTTCTTGGGAGAACGCAGTGTCTACAAAGTAAGGTCAGTGCAAGAACAAATCCAGGGCCCTAATATACTTCAGTGTAGAGGTGAGATGTCCCCTGGTCCCAGCTCCTTCAGGATATCATTCTGAGTGGACAAGCCATGTCTGGTTTTTGCAGACCCCCGACACAGGACCCTGGGTTTCATCCATCCCATATTTTGCTCCAAGTCAGCTCTGTAGAGCCTGTTCCTCTGTTAATCAGAACTAGTTCTTCTTTGACTGGTCCCTGGCTGGCTTGAGAGGTACTTACACCAGATCCTGGCCTATTCCATCCCACGTCTCTTATCTCATGGCACAAAGCCACCTTTCCCACTTGGATAGGGGTGCAGTGAAGTGTGGTTCACAAACCAAGGGGGCAGAGCAGCTGTGACCAGTAACAATAACGACACGATTGCTGAGACAAACATTTTCATGGTGATGCATGGGAACACTAAATCCAAACCACATTGTTTAGCTTTCACCCCAGTAAAGGGGGAATGCCACAGCCCCTAAAGTAAATGGAAGAGATCACAGTTTAGAAAATATGACAGAGTTGAAAACTTAAAGCTGTATCACGCAGTAACATCCTCTGGAAGGAAAACAACTGATACGAGGGAGTGTATATATATTTCCAAAGCAGTTTATTAGTTTGGAGACTTCCCTAGTCCGAAAATTGAGCCGGGTGGATGTGAGTCAGAAGTGCCTCGGGCAGCAGTTTGTGGAGTGGGAACACTCTCACGTCACTGTTGGGAAGGGGACGCGTGGCGACAGGCTGGAGGGATGCACAGACCCTGAGAACATTCCATGTGCCTGCTTTCTTTCAGTGTTTGTTTCAGATTGACATCAGACACCATACATGGAGCTGAACAACCCTGATATTTACATGCTCTGATTCCCTGTTTTTCTTGTGGATTGGAAACTCACTGGAGCAGTCTGTAAACACTGTGCAACAGAGTTCGATTTCACAAAGGCCAGTGCAGGCTCTGGGGGAAGGGCCGAGGGTCTGCGGTGCTCAGAAAAATCTCAGTGGAAGTACTCAGTCTCTCCTGGCAGCAGAGGCAGGTTTACAGTGGAGTTAATTAAGCTCAGGTTTCAGGGCTTCTTGCATAGGCTTGATGGGAGATATAAAATGTTCTAGGTGAGGAGCAAGGAGGCAGGTTTCTGTCAGTAATCTATCCAGTGTAAGTCTTCCTGGTTAGTTAAACAGCCTTTAGAAGAAAGAATCGGATTCTCCCAAAACTCATTTAAGTTATTGTGGCTTCTCTTTTGGTTCCAGCTAGGTTTTAATATTGTCTGCAGTTTTGTATTTATTATTGCACATTGTTTTTCCTTTAAAGGGCCCAGATTTGGACCCCACAGAACTGAGGGCCTGGTGCTGTGAGTTTTGGCAAATGCCATTCCCGAAATCTCTATATTCAGAGGAGATGCTCCCAGGGAGCTCTCTGTAAACACCTGCACAACTTTGTCACCTGCTCCTGGCAGAGCATGTCATCCAGAGGCAGGTGGCCGCACATAGTAGATATCAGCCAGTGTTTGCAGCACAGAAGATAAACTTCCAGAATCTCTTCCTAAGCTGTGCAAGGTGCTTCCCGCTTTAGGAAACAGGTGTGGAGGATGAGGAGTTGGAGTGGCTGTGGGCAGCATTTCCTGTGGTATGTGGGCGTCCATGCGACAGCTGATAGCTTCTGTGCAAAGCACGCAGCTGTGGGTGGGAAGGACTGGGTGAGGCTTCAACTCCCCGTGCAGGAACCACCTCTGGCACTGATGATGGGGAAAGGGAAGTGAGCTTATGTGGGAGCCAGGTGTCATCTACATAGTACCTTATGTGTTCATTACAATTAAATAGACTGCACGTAGAACCCGAGGTGCTGGTTGTTGGAATTTGCACAAACCCTAGATACCATCTAGTTTAAAATCTCATTTTATGGGTTGGAAAACAGGTCTAGAGAGAGCCATGACTGGCCCTTGGTATAGGCAGTGTATACCCTGCAATGGGTCACAGGGGACTCAGGGTATTCAGGAGCCTGGAAGAGAGGAAGCCCAGCAGAGCCCCAGGCTGGGAAGTCCCTCGAAGGTCAGTGTCAGTCCATGAGGCCTGTTCCTTTAAGGACATGGCACAGAGGAAAGGGAGCCAATGTGCCACATGTTACGGATTTAAAGACTTTTATCTGGCATCCAGAGGATGTGATAACTTTTTCCATTATGATGTAACAACTTTAAAGAGTGTGGAAACCTCAAATGGTGCAGGTGTGTGCTGTAGGAAAGCTTTTAAGAGGGTGCGTGGATGTTCCGAGGGGATGAAATGTGTGGGTACAGCTGCCTTTCTGCCAACCGAGTGCCCAGAGAGCCTGAGCGTTCCAGCCTGTCTTGCCTTCACCTGTGTCTGGTGCTGGTCACTGGCAGATGCAGGCAGAAAACACAAAATCAGGAACTCGATTCTGCCAGATTTTGGCCTGGGAAACTGCTCAGCAGGACCCTTTTTAAACAGACCAGCATCTGGCTGCCCCAGTGGCTCCCACTCTTCCACTTGAGCCATCAATAAATTAAAAACTTCTGTAGCTTGGCTTTTGAATGGACCCACACAGAATGCAACACAGTTCCCCAGAAAAAGGACATGCATGGTTTTGTTTGATTTCATAATCCTTGGTCCCTGTTCAAAGTTTGAGCAAATGAGAGAGCTCATTTGGGGAAGAGGTGGCTCTACTGCAGGGGGCTCCAGTTGGGTGGGGCCTGCTGGTTTGTAGGCCCATGTGCTGGCAGTGCCAGTGTATTGGAAGGTGAACTGTTCCATGCTTCATTTGTGCAAGGAGATATGAAGCCGTGCTAGGTGTGAACTGAGGGATTACACTGTGCTGTGTTTCAAAGAGTAGTGTGACAGGCAGAGTGTGTCTGCTGGGGGACTGGCCTGCACAGCTTGAGGTGCCCTCCTGCCTAGAGTCTCCACGCCCCCCAGCTTTCTTCATGACTGCCTGGTGCTCTGGTGCAGTGGGCATTGCCTGGGCCCACGGGGGTCTGCCTCTGGTGCCTGGTGTGTTCTGGCTCCTGGATTATAAGAACACTGACTGATTGCTGTCCCATGCTGGGAACTCAGGTGGTCCAGCCTGGTTACAAGAAGGATCACGGGGACATGTTAAATTAAAGGTGTTGAGCTCCACCCAGAGAGGTCTAATTTCATAGGTTTGGGTGGGTTCTGAAAATTAGCAGTTTTAAAGGTGTGAGGACTGGGGAATCACTGCCCCAGACTAGGTCACTGTCAGACTGGATCAGGACCTCAGACTAGAGTTCCACCTGAGATGGGGTTACCATCTCAGACCATCTCAGATGGATCAATGCTGGGGACTAGGTTGACAATTCCAAACTGGCACTCCATGACACACTTAGGGGGTGTCAGGTCTGGCTTCTGTTGCTGTAGCAAAATACCTGAGACTCTGCATTTGTGAAGAATAGAAGTTCATCTTATTCATGGTTCTGGAGTTTGGGAAGTCCAAGAGCATCACCCTCTGTTTGGTATCTGGTGAGGGCCTTCTTGTTGCCTCATTATGGTGAGAGGACAAGAGTATGTGCTAGCTTGGCCCTTGCTCCCTCTTCTGAGTCATAGGTCTCATCATGGGCCCTTAACCTCATGAAATCATCAAACCTGATTTCCTCCCAAAGATCTCACCTTCAAATACATCAAGATATGAATTTAGGGCCACATGAACTTTGAGGTGAGGGGGTGCTCGACACATTCAAATCACAATACAGGACAGCACCAACCAACCCCATTTCCCAGGTTACTAGATTGGGAAGGAGGAAAAAGAAGAGATCAGTGCATGGCCTTTTTCTTCCTGAAAACAGGCACCCCATACCATGTGGAGACCAAAGACTGGGCAAGTGGAACCTCATGACACCTGAGCAGCATAAGCCCATTATGCTGTTTCTGGACCTTCCAAAATCATCAGTCCCAAAGTCATTAGTGGAGTGGTGCAGAAGGGAGCTTAGTGTCTCACCAAATCACTGAATTCTTCAAAAGGCATCATACAAAGTTTTAGGACCAATGCTAAAGTCTGAAACAAACCAGGCCGTTTTTCTCCAGTAAGGTGACCAGAATTGTGGAGCACAGTGGCGCTGTCTGGTGGGTCCCTGCAAGCAGCACTTAACGGCTTATGGACATAGACCTTGCTCTGCCTGGTGTAAGAAACTTGCTTGTTCTGCAAAAAAGGAGGGTCCAAGCAAACATATACTCCCTTTGCTCTGGGAAGTGGGTGAGTGACTAACTTCTGGGGAAAAAAAGCTCCATTTGAGTGACTGTTTTGCACCTTGAATGTATTTTAAGCATGTGCTTAAGATGCAAAAAAACTCTGTTCTTTTTTTTTTAAAGATAGGGAATCTATTTCTCCTTTAAAACAAACATGGTCTGCACTGTAAGCCCCTGTCATACTCCAAGAGTGACTCATGTCCTGAGTGAATTTGCTCAAGTTTGGAGGCGGGGAGAGACCAGTATTTCTGATACCCTCCTCCACCCCCTCAATCAGGTTCCCAACATGCGAACTTCAGTTTCTCAAGTTAATGTACTTTTTTTTTTTTTTGATTGAAAAAGAAACTGCTGTTGGTCCTTGTCATTCCTGACAAGGACACTTCATTTGGTGGATGTGTTCAAGCTGTCTTGAAGCCCCTTGTCTGTGAAGGCCAGTATCAGGGCTGTCCTTGCCAGGCAATCTGTAGTGAAATCGGGACTGCAGAAGGGCGTTCTCCTTTCAGATGTAAATACAGAGCAAGTGAGCCATCCCAGCTCCTGCCATCACCACGCAGTGCTTCCTGCCAGGCCTGGGGCAGAGCTGGAGCCCCTCCGCCCCAGCTTCTCGAGCCTCCGTGAAGTGGCCAGGGGAAGCAGCGACATCAAAGGGGCTGGCCAGGTCTTCTGGGCGCTGAATGCCCGGCAGACAGCGCCTGGCTGTTTCCCCTGTGACAGGAGGTTTTACAAGTCTGGAGTTTTATCAGCTGCAGGCTAACAGCTTCCTTCCTTCTGTGTGTTGTCCCCTTTTCTGAGTTGCCAGATTTTTCTCACACTTTTCAAATCCAGTCTAAGTAACTCTTTGCTGGCTGGAGCTCAGAGCTGGGCCATCCATTGCTAGCTGCCAAGTGGGGCCTCCCAGTGCTCATGAATGGGACCTGGTGGCTGGCTTCTTTCTCCCTTCCCTTGGGAAATCTGGCCTGTGTATCCCTAGTATGGGGTCACCTCCCCTGCTAGTGGGTCCCGTCTGCTCAGTCCCAGAGGCCTGAGTCCTAGGGGAAAGTCACAGAGGGTGACCTTGTAGGGGACAGAAAGGCAATTCTTTCTGGGATCCAGACATCCAAGGCTTAGCTCCAGGGGTGAGCAATGACCCCAAGGCTGGCATCTAGATGGACCAGAGGCATGCTCAGAGCCCCTTATACTGTCTGGGATGAAGGATCAATTTCTTTCCCCCCCCCCTTTTTCCAATTTTCTATATATCACAGGCCTGTAATTTTATAAATTACAATAAAATGAATAATTAAAAAATAAAATTTGAAAAGTAGACATGCAAAGTACAAGTTCAATAGTTTATTCTTAGAGTCAATAAACATGATGGTTTCTAAGTGCTTGCTCCCAATTCCCATACTTGTCTCAATGCAAGAACAGTGAGTAGATGGATCTCATTCTGTGTACTGCGCTTTGAGTAGTTCAGTGTGTGTTCCAGAGTGTGTGTGTGTGTGTATGTGTGCATGTTTATTTGTGTATATCAGTAGGTGTGAGTATGAGAGTGTATGGATTTATGTGTGTGCATGTTTGTGTGTGCATGTATATATGTCAGTGTATGGATATCGAGTGTAAGAGTGTGTTACTGTGTATCCAAGTGTGTGTCTGAGTGTGTATACATGTTTGAGAGAGTGTGTGGATATCAAGTGTGAGTGTGTTTGTTGATAATGTGTGTATGCCTATTCGTGTGTCTGAGTGGGTGTGTGAATGGGTGTGCATGTGCTTGTTAGTATGTGAGTGTGTGAGTGGAGGAGCATGGAATAGGGGAGGGTGGGAAGGGCTTAGGCAGGACTATGAGAAGAATGTGTAAGAGCAAAGGAGAATGAAGGGAATGGAGGGTGGATGGGAATAGAAAAGACAATAGAATGAATTTCCTATGTTCATAATATGAAGACATGACCAGTGAAACTCCACATCATGCACAACCACAAGAATGGGATCCTAATTAGAATAAGATATTCTCCATGTATGTATAATATGTCAAAATACACTCTAATGTCATGTATATCTAAAAAGAACAAATAAAAAAGTCAAAAATTAAAATAATAAAAAAAGAATGTATGAGGGGCTTAGGTGATGTCTCTACCTATGTACAGAGTCTATTTAATTGGTGCCTGGGGAAGGGAGTACACATGGACAATGGGTGCACAAATGAAAATTTGGGGTTGGGGAGGAGACATTTCCACAGAACAGACCATGTGGCCATTGGCAGGAGAACAGGTCTGTCGGATGATGTCTGGGATGGTGAATTCAGTGAAAATCTATTAGGAGTGCATGTCACCCCTCTGGCTCTCCTGGTGCCATTTGAAAACGTGTTACCATTGGCCCTCTTTTAGAGAGGAGACATAGTCTCAAAACCCAAGGAGCTTACTGAAGTAGCAGATCTATGACTGTGTCCCCAGTTCTAGTTCTCACTCTACAGACACTACTATTATTATTACCAAGTCTTGGGCAAGGAATCAGCATAAAGAGAGCTTTCTGTGCTCACTTCGAGATGCTGACCTTCAGTAAGAGACTTGGTCAGCTTGACTGGGGAGCCCGCCATCAGAAATATAGAATATAAGCCAGGTGAGGGGGCACACGCCTGTAATCCCAGCAGCTCGGGAAGCTGAGGCAGGAGAATCATGAGTTCAAAGCCATCCTCATCACTGGTGAGGCACTAAGCAACTCAGTGAGACCCTGTCTCTAAATAAAATACAAAATAGGGCTGGGGATGTGGCTCAGTGGTTGAGTGCCCTTGAGTTCAATCCCTGGTAACCACCTCCTGGCTCCCCACCCCCAAAATACAGAACATAATATAGTGCATTTTAATTATAAAAGAAGTTAGATAGACATTTTAGGGCAACTCAGTCTTCTTTAGGCATTTTCTTTGCATTGGTAATGGAAGCAGGAACAAAGGTGCTTTTTAAGATTCTGTAGAAATGTTTTCACTTTCTATTTGGAAAAGGTTAAACTAATATTTTGTGATTTTTTTTAACTTGAGGCTAAGAAATAATTCTAGTTTGTGATTAAAGGTCCTCCTGTGTATCCATCCCAGGCAGCTCATATTCATGAAGACTTCTGAGGACTTCAGAAGCACTTGGCCTCCTCCCTGTGTGTCCTGGATGGGGGAGTCAGGCATGAGCAACAGCCACAGCATGGTAGGGGCCTAGCACAGCAAGGCTCCCCAAGGACTGAGCTCTGCTCCATCAGGGCTTTGCTTGGCCCCACACTGAAGGCTTGGCAAGGCTGGGACTCTGTAGGGCTGCATGGTAAGGCCTGGCACTGTCTGATTCCTGAATGTTGGCAGGTCTCTAACGCTCTGCTTCTTCAAAGTTGGGTGGAGGGAGAGTCCCAGGAACATCATGGCCCAACATTACAGACATGATAAAAAGAAACCACATAAAATACACTGTAAAGCCAACTACTTCCATCAAAGGAATCACTGACCAAGAAAGATGTAAGAGTGGAAAACGGTCCCTTCAGATTGGTCATTATTGCTTTTCCTCCCGTTTCCCCTACTTACCACAGCTGTATTGCCCTGTGACAGTTAGAAAGCCATCAAGAACTATATGGCGGGGGGGGGGGGTGCTGACAGAGCTCTGGCAGTGGCTATCCCTTTCTGGGGCAAGCTGTACAAACTGGGTTGTGTTAGGTGTACCTAGTGGGTCTGACCAGGATCCGGTGGTTCAGGGACTTCTCCCTAGAAAGAATGCCAGCATATGTTTATGGATATAGATGGAACATTTTTATAATTAATTGTTGATACCAGGCATACAAATTGTGAAGGTTTAGTATCCAGTGAATCCTTGAGTCAGGAAGGTGCAAGACCTGGATGAAAATGAGAAGCAGTGCACAAACAAGGAAAGGTTGGGCCTTTAACTCAGGATAGGGGTTTCACGTTTTTAACTTTGTTTATGAATTGCATACTTAATCTAGTTTGGGAATTGACTTCTGTATGCTTCAGCCAGCACCATATTCAGCTGTCCATCTTCACTCTGGCTTCTGAGACAGTAGAAGTGATTCTTCTCGTTAGTCTGGGAGAATTTCCTGGGCTGGAGTGAAAATGAACAGTCGCGCCCCTTCAGTGACAGTGTGAAGTGTCCTGGGCTGGAGGGCAGGTACCACCTTGGAATCAACCGATCATGCTGGGGTTAAGTTGAAGAAACATGTCCAAAGGGGGCAGTCAGAGCATGGGGTAAAGACCAGCAGCCAAAATGCAGAGCCTGGGGGAAGAGGACAGAGAGAATGTGACTAGAAGGGTAAGGGACTGTCATGGAGTGTGGCAGGTTCCCCCTAAGGCCTAACTTTGTCTTCATGTACATTTTCGTGGTAAGACCAGGTCTCTGAGTAGACACCTCTGCCTCTCTCCAAGTTGGCATCTTGCTTCCTATGCCTTGATTCCAACATCTAGCACTTTGCTTGTTTTTATTTTATTCTGTTGAATTTATTTTTAATTACATTGGTGATACATTCCAGTATAAATATATATAAAATATACCATCCTCAAAAAACTAGGAATAGAACTACCACATGATCCAGCAATCCCATTATTGGGTGAATGTATATTCAAAGAAAATGTAACCAGTGTGTCAAAACAACATCTTCATTCCCATGTTCATTGCATCACTATTCACCTTTACTGTTCACAGTGATTAGAAACAATCTGAGTGTTCATCAACCAAAGAATGGATAAAGAAAATGTGGTATGTATATGTATATATATATATATGCATGATGAAATTCTATTTGGCCTTGAAAAAGGATGAAACACTGTCATTTGTGGATGGAACTGGAGGACATTGTGTTAAGTGAAATAAACCAAACACAAAAAGGAGTCTTACTGTATGCTGTCACTCATATGTGAAATCTAAAAAAAGCAGACTACCTGAAAGCTGAGAGCAGAATGGTGATTTCCAGAGTCTGGGAAGAGTGGAGGGCAGGGAGGGAGGAGGAAAAGTTGATCAAGGGTACTGAGGTACAGTTGGATAAGAGCAAGAGGCTCTGGTATGCTATCATACAGGATGGTGACGGAGATAATAACAATGTATTGTCTATTTCAAAAGCCTAGGAGAACGAATCTGGGATGTTTTTGCTACAAAGAGGGGATAAATGTTTGAAGAGACAGAGAGAGACAGAGAGAGAGAGAGAGAGAGAGAGAGAGATATGTTTACCCTGATTTGAATGTTTACACAATGTGTACATATATCAGAACATCATAAGCAATATTTGCCTGGCATAAGCCAGGCTTTGGGTGCCATCCCCTGTACCAAAATCAAAACAAAAACAAAAAGAAAACATCATATGGGACCCCATAAATATGCACAATTTTACATAAAAACTCTGAAAGATAGAAAAAAAAATTAAAAAAAATGCCCATACCCCATGAATCATCAGTTTCACTCCTCCCATGTTTTTATAAAGAAGTGACGTGGGATATTTATTTCACTGTTATTTATACTGTTCATGATAGCAAACAAATGAAAATGTTTATGTTCATTCTAGAAAATAAATGGAAATTTGTATCACCAGCTGTGGAAAAATGCCTGACATGAATAAAGTAACAATACAAATTATAAAAAAGGCAAAAGATTTGTAACCACACCCATTTATAGTTCTATCCTTTTTCCAAAACTAATCTCAATTTTCTTTGCAGTGTGTGTTTATGTGCATTACATGTGTACATCAGTTCATCATGTGTACTGATAGAAAACCACATATGGTGTCATGTTATACATGTTGTTCTGCAAACTGGCTTTCATACTTGACACTTTAATCTTAGGATCTTTCTGCATCTGTTTAGCAGCTGTCTTATACATAGTTAATTTAGCTATTTCACTAATGACACATATTTTGACACATTCTTAGGTTTTCCTGTTTGGTCATACTACAAATATTGCTGCTATGAATATCTTGAAACTCCTTTTGTGTACATATTTGAGAACTTTTCCAGCACAGATATGAAGATGTGAATTTTTTTTTTGAGATTCAGATGGTCTGCATTTCATCATTCTTGATAAACAGATGTTCATAGGGTCTGATTTATATACAAGTGATTATGACTGACAGTGTTCACTCTGTATAAGATGGCCAGTTGCCCAGTAAAGATGATGATGCTTATAAGAAGCAGCCCTTGGCTGTGTTCAAACAGCCAGAGTGCTCTTGAAGGGATAGCCACAGTGACCTGGAGTAGGAAGAAAGCTCTCTTGAATCTTCTAGAATGTGTTATCTTCTCTGTACTTGACTTTGCAGAACAGTGACCTTGGCCTTGTTTATTGTGGTTCCCCAGCACTAGGCATACCTGTCCATGATGCTAAAAAGCCAGTATTTCCTGGTTGCAGATGGAGAGGTATGATGTGGAAGGCTAGCCCAGGTCCTTATTCTGATGTTCAGTGGTTCCTTGACAGGATTGAATGAAGTACTTGGGGGCTGCTCTCTCTTTTGTAAAATGAGAGGCTTGAAGTAGCTCTTCTGAGTTCACTTAGGGTGAACTCTGAGTTTGATTAAGGGCTCTCTGTTGGAAGCTTTTTCATAGTGTGATATGCAGAAAAGAAATGACACTTTTAATGTTCTTTCAAAACTGTCCTTAGGGCTTTTCCTGGAATCAAGGAGATACAATTAGACTGTGAATTGAGAGATTTGAATCCAGGTCTCTGTGTTCATTGCTTGGACTTGGCTGAGGACTCTGAACCAAGCTAAGCCTCATTTTCTCATCCTGCAATAGAGCATAGGTGAGGTAAGTCTCTGAGGCCCACATCAAGCCCTCAGTTCCCAAGTGTTTGGGTTTAGAACATCTTTGTGAAGTGCAACCTCACAGATTTCCTTTCTTGCTTCAGACTTCCATCTTTATCATACCATTTCTAAAAGGTGGTTATTCCTTTTGCAAATTCCATCCCCAGGAGTTTAAAACTTTCCCTACTACTTGATATCCTCAATGGGGACACTTACTGGTGATGAACCAAGTCAGAACAGGTCTGCCTTTCCCAGGTGGACAGAGCCTCTATTTAGTGTCAGGACTGGCCCTGCAAACGGTAGAGGAAGTAGAAATGTCCTTGAGCCCCTCTGTCCTGTCATTTTCACCAGTCTCCCTCTCTATCCATCCACACCTAACTGTTTCATGCATCCTTCCCATTGCTAACTCTACTTTCCTAGGATGTGATTTGATAATTCCATTCACATTCATTTACAAATGAACTTGTTGTTTCACTTTCAGGAAGTAAAGGCACAAAACCCATCTAACTTCATTTCCAAGGTAATAATGTCAAAGTGCCTTGAGTGCTTTCTTTCCTCCAGGGCAAGGGTTATAGAGATGAGTAAGATCTCTGTTGTGTGGTGTTCTGCTTTGCTGTTGCTGTGGCTAATGGTGTAAGATATCATCACTGGCATCTTCTAGCACTGCCATGACACAGAAGGAATATTTCTTCCACTCCTAAGCTCCAGAGCATTCAGATGTGTCCTATTTCCCATGAATGTATGCTTAGGAGATTTGATGATCAAAGATCTTATCCAGCTCCTGTGCCAAGTAAGCTGGTGCCTCTTATCTTCCTTCAGAAGAGGCTTAAAAAT